TGTACTTATCTCTGATAACTTTAAAGTTAAGACGCAAGTAGATTCTGCTGCTATGAAGCCCAATCAAATACTTGAAATTTAAAAAAAAATTTTAACATAGAGGTTTAAATCTGTGGAAATCGCTTTAAATAATTTATAATAGATCACATTTAGAAGTTGCAGTTCAATCTTAGTCACCTTATCAAGCGAGTGACATCAATATTTTAAAAAACATTCAAAGAAAAACTACAGAAGTAATTTTCTTGATATCAAAGCATCAATACTAAGAAAAACTCAAAGAACTAGGACTTACCACCCTAACTTACCACCTAGGACTTACCACCCTAACTTACTACCTAGGACTTACCAACCTGCCTGAGAGAAGGATCAAAAGTGATATGATACAGCATTTTAAAATAGTACGTCAGATTGATGTCATTAATTGGCATCCCCCACTAATGTCTCTTCCCTCCCTTCATTGCAATGTACCTGCTGGTGGTACTCCTGATTATGTTATGCAAATAAAATATCAACTGGTGAAGCATTGCCAACAGAGGTGAACTTTTTTCACTAATCGTATAGTAAATAACTGGAATTCTTTGCCAGAGCAAATTAATGATGCTCCAGGATTGAGAAATTTTAAGGAGCTATATGATAGTCACGTAGTAAGAAGAGACAGCCATAATTAGTACATAAACAATTGTGGGTTCTGCATAGGAATGCTGATACCATTTTTTTAAGTCTTTTTATTTTTGTTAAAAAAAATTTGTTCAGAAAATATCTAGGAAAAAAAAAATTATAAAGCAACCAAATTTCGGGTGTTAAATAGCTTAAGAAAAAAAAATTAGTACAAAAATAATTAATGGAAAATAAGGAAATAAATAATTTGGTCTATATCTGGCTCCAAAGAGAAATATACTAAATTAAATTAAAAAAAAACATTCTAAAGTAAAAAATCAATATTGTGATAATATATGAAAAAAACTGATAACTAAGGTAAAAAATGAGCCCAAATTACTATTTTACATATAATTAAAAAAAAGTGGAAAGTAAAAAATCATATAAGAGTACTTAATAATAACACTGGCACAACAAATGACAAATGCATTGTTGATATTTTGAAAAAGTTCCTTTATTCTGTCTGCTTTAAGGAAAAGAATGCAAATGTATGTAATTTTAAAGCACAAATAAATACTAGATTTGGAAAAATTGCTGTTGATCAAGCACTTGTAAAACTATACTTATCAAAATTAATCATATATAAATCTAGTGGGTATGACAAAGTAAACTTAAATGTGTTAAAACTTTGCTTTGAAAGTTTTTCAATACCATTGTCAATTATTTATCAACAAAGTTTTACAAATTGTGATCTTTCTGAAATCTAGAAATTGACTAATGTTAGTATTTAAAAATGGAAGCAAACTGTAAGCAAAAAAATATCAATCAGTATCCTTGTTTTATAAATAATCTAAGAAATTATTTAGAGATTAATATTCTTTTATGCATTAAACAACAGTCTTTTTAAAAAAAATTACAAGGTTATTGCATAAATTATTCAGACCATATTTTGAAATTCCGGAAAAATTTTTGGGTAAAAGATTCAGAAAACATCCGAAATATATTTTCCTCCTAAGTTTGCATTTTGTAAATGTTGTAAATAAAGAAAATAATTAGTTAGGTAAATTATACAAACCAATTACTTACAAGGACAAAAACACAATAAATATTCTGCATTGTATTTTTGTATAAACTATTCTTGAATATGCAGCACAAATATGGAACCCTTGTAACAAATAAAATTTACAAAAATTAGAAAGTGTTCAACAATGAGCAACTAAATTGAATCCTGAGTTATGAGATCTACCCTATTCAGTGAGGCTAAAAAAAACTTTAACTTACTAATTAAAAAACCAGAAGAAAAATAAGGAAATTTATTTCAATATTATAAAACTTTACATAAATTTGACTTGATAGTATTAAATCTTAATAGTATTAACAACCAAAATCACCAAATTATATTTCAGCATATGTTCCAGCTGCAAACATATGAGGTCAAAAAGCATGTTTTAATATTGAATTTATAAAAAGCAACAAATCGAGGAAATGTTTTCTGACAAGTAGAGTTGCAAAAACACTGGAAAATTTAGTGTTTTGCAATTCTACTTGTATTCCAGTGTAATAAACTACCAGAAGTAATTATTTTTTGACAAAACTGTAAAAATAATCAGGAACAAATTTGATGAACATTTTGACATCATGAAATGAAGAAACTCTGATTAGCATGGGCTCTTAATATATTCAACATGGCGTTGAATCTCAAGGTGCATAATAAATAAAAAAAATAAACACTCACACTTGGGTATATTTTTCTGCTCATTCCTAAAAAATACTTTAAAAGAAACTCTACAATTATAATTTAGGAGAAATGAAATTAATGCTTTAGAAAAACTTGTATGCAAAGCCCTAACGATATAACACGATATCATATAAATCAATTTAGATAAAACTCACAACAAAGAAGCTTTTTAGGTTAATTATTTACTCGTAAAAAAATCGTTCCTGTTTTTTAAGGAAATCGTTCCGATATTTTAAGAAATCGTTCCTATAATTTTAAGAAATCGTTCCTACGGCTTTTTAATCAAGAAATCGTTCCGATTTATAAAAAATCGTTCCTATTTTTTAAGAAATCGTTCCTACGCGGAAAAATAGGAACAATTTTTTTTTGAAAATCGTTCCTATGTTTTAAGAAATCGTTCCGTCAATATACTTATTACTATTATAAATATTATTATTATTATTATTTTAATATTAGGAAGTTCATTTTGTCAAAATTTGTAATATAATTTTTAATTGGTTTGTAACAAGTTTATTTGTCCGTTAATTTTTTCTCTGTATTGTCTTCAGTTTTGAAATTTATTTAACAGAGTTTTAATTGTAAATTAAATCTTTTAAAAATGTAGTAAGACTACAAAACATGTCAAGAATAATAATTTAAAAAAAAAAAAAAAAAAAGGTCGGTTCACAAAAGATGAATATCAGCAAATATATCCCAGTGACCCAATACCACCTCGTATGTATGGTGTAGTGAAAGCACATAAACCTGAAAAATCTTATCCAATGCGAATTGTAGTATCTTCAATAGACACACCAAACTACGGAATCTCAAATTACTTAGTAAAACTAATACAACCAATATTAAATGAAAACCCAACTCGATTAAAAAATTCCCAACAATTTGTAGAAAAAGCAAAATCATGGGACATATCCAGTGACGAAATTCAGATATCATTAGACGTTATAAACTTATACCCGTCAGTTCCACTTAAAGAAGCAACTGATGTACTCATAAGTATATTGGAAGTGAGCGATATTTTTAAAAAAATGACAAAATTAAATATAAAAGAAATAAAAACTCTAATAGAACTATGTTTATACCGACCATACTTTCTATGGAACAATGAAATACATGAACTTTAAAATTCAGGTCCAATAGGTCTTTCTTATATGGTAGTTTTAGCTGAATCTTTTCTTCAAAATCTTGAAAAAAGAGCGCTTAATATAGTGCTGAAAATCAACCCGATTATTGACATAAAATCATTTTATAGATACGTAGATGACAGCCATGCTAGAGTCCCTAACATTGCCCAGGCTAATCAATTCAAGACAATACTTAACCAACAGCATCCAAAAATACAATATACAATCGAATTTGAAAATGATAAAAAACACTAAATTTTCTAGACTTGTGCATAATAAATAACAAAAATGGCAAGTACGAATTTAAAATACACAGAAAAAATGCAATTACTAACATTCAAGTTAAGGCAACATCAAACCATGACCCACAAATTTTAAATGGAATATTCAAGGGTTTTGTACATAGAGCATTTAATGTATGCAGTCAGAAACATATAGAAAATGAACTGAAATTTCTTTTCTAGTATTTGTCGAAAATGGTTACAAATATTCCAATCTCATAAAAATCATAAAAGAAATAAAACGAAAGTACAAAAACCTCTAGTGACTACTAAAAACATTGACAACATGACCAGTACGTATCCAACAATTTCATTACCTTGGGTACCAATATTATCTCCCAAATTGCGTAAAGTGTTTAGGAAGGCAGGATATAAAACGGTCTTCAAATCAAAATTAAACCTAGAAGCAATATTGACTTCAAGAAATAAGTCCAAACTACAAAGGAACAGCCACCCAGGAATTGGCCTTATTAAGTGTCAATGTAACAAAAAGTATATTAGTGAAACAAAAATGCAAATAAAAATACGCATGCAACAACACAAAAACAGTACAATAGAAAATAAAACAGAAAGATCAGCATTAGCCACACACATGAAACATTGTGCACAACAAATTAACTGGGACAGTTGCAGAACTCTAATCAATCAATCAATCAATCATATATATTCTGAAAATTAATTTCATGGATATTTACAAATAGTAATTCTACTAATCTTAAGTAAACACCAAAAATACAGATCTTTATATATATAATTATTAATAATTATAAGATAATAACAAAAATAATATTTATAGTAATAAACATAAGAACCACAATAATAATAATAATAAAAAAAACAATAATAATTATATTAGTAATTGTAATAACAATAATAATCGAAATTATAATTCACATGTTACTCATAAACACAATAGCTAAATATATATATATGAGTTAGTTACAAACAGTTGACTGAAAAAACGTACCAACTAACAAAGACATCAAATAGTTATTTAAATTGAAAATAATAAAATAGGAATAATAATACTAAAGTTAAAAGTAATAATAATAGTGGTTACAATAAACATTTAAAGTTACTAATAATAATACTATAACAAAAAACATATGATAAAAATTTAAAAAAAATGAAGAAAAACAAAAAAGCATTTAAAAAATGAGAAAGTTCAATTTTGTTACATACATACACAAACATAAATATAAAGATGTAAACACATACTTACCCACATGCATAGATACACACATATTTGCACATAAATATACACGCGCGCGTACATACACTCACATACATACATCGTAAACAAGGTGTACCATATGATCTAACATGCTCCCCATTTGAATCAATAAGTTGCGGAGTTCCACAAGGATCAATACTTGGACCTTTATTGTTTTTAGTTTATATCAATGATATTTTTTTGTCTTCAAAAATACTTAATTATACTATTTTTGCTGATGACACTAATGTTTTCTTTTCTGACTCAAATTTAAAAAATATTTTTTATTATGTAAACGCTGAACTAATATATCTTAATGAGTGGTTTATAGCAAATAAACTATCATTAAATATTGAAAAAACTAAATATATTTTGTTTGCTAAACCATCTCAATCCGAGAACCTTCCACTTAAACTTCCAGAACTAACAATTAACAATATTAAAATAAAAAGAGTTTTTTCAATGAAAATACTAGGAATAAATTTCGATGAACATTTAAATTGGAAAAGCCAAATAAAGTTAGTCGAGAACAAAGTTTCAAAGACTGTGGGGATTATGTACAGGACAAAACATCTTTTGAATAAAATATGTTTAAAAAACTTATACTTTTCATTTATACATAGTCATATTAACTATTGTAATATTGCCTGGGCAAACAATCATTCATCTTTCCTAAAAAATATTTATACTAAACAAAAGCAAGCAAGTCGATTAGTTTTGGGCGCAGATAGGTACGAAAGTGCCAAGCCGTTACTCAAGGAAATTAATGCGCTAAACGTATACGAACTAAATATATACCATAACTTGTTATTTATGTTTAAACTTCAAAATGAACTAATTCCAAAATATTTTTATAAAGGTTTCTCTCTAATTAACCATAAATATGAAACAAGACACTCAATAAATAATTACTACATCCCATCAACATCACTCAAAAAATCTGACTTCTCAATTACATGTCGGGGGCCACGCTTGTGGAAGTCAGTTCTTGACGAAAATATGAAAAAAATAAAATCTATTGATATATTCAAAAGAACTATAAAAAAAACACTTACTAAACTCAAACATTACATACATTCTTTCATTTTTTTAAAAATAATATTTTTTTGATAAATTTGATAAAAAGCTTTTTTTTTTTTTTTTTTTTTTTTTTTTTTTTTTTTTTTTTTTATTTTTTTTTTAATATATATATATACATATATATCTTTCTTGTTTGATTTTCTCTTTGACTGTTTTTTTTTTAACTTTTTTTTAATAAATACTAACAAATGAATTTAAATCTACATAACGTTTGGAATCTTTTTAATATATAAATATTTTTGAATATATACTTCGCTTTGTATTGAATATGTATACGTATATGTTCTGATTTGTAAAAAAAAATTCAAACTTTTTAATTTACGCATTGTATACATTTTTATTTTTTTATTTCGAGATTTTATTATTATTATTATTTTTTTTTTTTTTCTTTCTAATTTTTACTTTTTTTAATTTTTAATTTATTTTAAACTTTTTAATTTTTTTCAATCTTTTTACTTTATTTCAAACTCTTTAAATTTTTTTATTTTTATTTTAATTTTGTTTGAATGTTTGTTTATTTTTTCAAAATTTTTAATTTAACTCTTTTTTATATTATTGGAATTTTAGAAATTTTATATTTCTCTATTTCACAAAAGGGCTTGATGATAAGACTTTATGTCTTCTACTTGCCCCTGTCAGCTTGTAATTATATATATATTTATTCGAATTTAAAGATAACATTGTAAAATGTTTAAAACGACAAAAAAATAAACTAATAAAAAAAAAAAAAATACATATGTATACATACACATATATATGTGTATGTATAGATATGTATGTGAGTGTATCTATATATATAGATACATATACATATATAGCTTAAAAATATATACTTTTTATTTACAACTTTAAAAATATACATTTAAAAAAAATGTCCAACCAACGTAAAACTAAAAAAAAAAAAAAAAAAAAAAAAAAAAAAAAAAAAAAACGATGCAAACAACGCATTAAAACATACAACAATATGAACTATACACTACATTTCCCAATATACTATACACAAGATTAGAATAACAAAAAACAACAACAAAACAAACGTCCCTCAAAATAAATAAAATTAAAATTTTTTTTTTCGTATCTTCCAAAATGGAGCGATTTCTATATTTTATTTTAATTCTTTTTAATTACTTTCCATTTTCGAATGTTTTTTTTAATTCATTTCATTCTTTTTCTTTTCTTCATTCTCTTTATTTTTATTTTATTTATTTTTCTTGTTTTATTCTTTTTCTTTCTTCTTTGTTTTTTTTTTATTTATTTATTTATAAAATCGTTATTAAAAAGCATCCGCCATTGCGGAAGTCTCTGCGCTGAAAAAATGGTCAAATAAAACTAAAAGTCAATAACAAATAGTTTGATAGGGAAGTTCGTGAGGCGCTTGAAATATAGTACCACCAACGTGCCCCTCTACAAAGTGGTATCAATTTAGATGAGTGACAATATGTGTCAACAAAATTCTGGACACCATTTCTAATGCACTTACGTCAGAAAAAGATGAAACCATTCCATTGACATATAATAAAATTGCCGTTTAAAAATAACATATAAACAAAAACAAACAAAAT